GTGGGCTGTCCCCAGTCCAGGTCCCTGTGGCCGTGCACTCGAGGCTCTCTGGCCCCGTCAGTGTGAATCCTGTCTGGCAGGAGAAGGAACACCTGGAGCCAAAGGCAAAGTCCTTGTGGAGGTGGGAACAGTTCATCTCTCCTCGGTCCGGAGCACTGGGCACCGGGCAGGTGATGGCTGCAGAGAGAGAGATAAACTTCAAGCAGGAGCCTGGGGACTACAAGACTAATGTGTTGAGACCAAGGGGCCAGGCAGCATCTTAGTGTGACCCCAAGGCCAGTGACACCTTGAGCTCTAGCAGCAGCTCTACCTTCACAGTGTGGGCTGTCCCCAGTCCAGGTCCCTGTGGCCATGCACTTGCGGCTCTCTGGCCCCATCAGTGCAAACCCTGTCTGGCAGGAGGAGGCACACGTGGAGCCAAAGGCAAAGTCTGCATAGCGGTGGGAGCAGTTCAGCTCTCCTCGGTCTGGAGCACTGAGCACTGGGCAGGCGACAGCTACCGGGTAAAAAAACAAACTTCAAGTAGGAGCCTAGAAACTACAAGGCTAAAGTTCTGGGACAAGAAGACAAAGACACCCAAGAACATCCCAAGGGTCAACCCAAGGCCTGTGACACCTTCAGCAGCAGCTCTACCTTCACAGCGTGGGGAGTCCCCAGTCCAGGTCCCTGTGACTGTGCACTCACGGCTCTCTGGCCCCATCAGCGTGAACCCCGTCTGGCAGGAGAAGGCACACGTGGAGCCAAAGGCAAAGTCCCCATGGAGGTGGGAGCAGTTCAGCTCTCCTTGGTCTGGAGCACTGAGCACTGGGCAGGCGATGGCTGCAATAGGATAGAGATACACTTCAGGCAGGAGCATGGGTGTGACAAGACTAAACTGCTGGGACAAGAGGACCAAGATACTCGAGAACATCCTAGGCTCAATCCAAGGCCTGTGACACCTTGAGAAGCAGCTCTACCTTTGCATTGTGGGGCACCCCCAGTCCAGGTCCCTGTGGCTGTACACTCGCGGCTGTCTGGCCCCATCAGTGCAAACCCCGTCTGACAGGAGAATGAACATGCGGAGCCAAAGGCGAAGTCCCCATGGAGGTGGGAGCAGTTCATTTCTCCTCGGTCTGGAGCACTCAGCACTGGGCAGGTGATGGCTGGAAAGTAAAGAGGCAAACTTCAAGTAGGAGCCTGTGAACTGTCAGGCTAAACTGTTGAGATGAAGAGGCCAGGGAACATGCTAGTGTCACCCCAAGCTCAGTGAGACACCCTGAGCTCTAGCATCAGCTCTACCTTCACAGCGGGGGCTGTCCCCAGTCCAGGTCCCTGTGGCCGTGCACTCACGGCTCTCTGGCCCCATCAGTGTGAATCCCGTCTGGCAGGAGAAGGAACATGTGGAGCCGAAGGTGAAATCCCCGTGGAGGTGGGAGCAGTTCATTTCTCCTTGGTCTGGAGCACTCAGCACTGGGCAGGTGATGGCTGCAATGGGAGAGCACTGAGGAGAGGTCTCAGAGACGTGATGGTTGAGGTTAAATCTAGGGATCAGAGCTGAATTCCAGCCAAATAAAACCAAATCTATGGCGGTATGTCTTTGATTTATTTACCTTTCTCTCCCAGACAAGTCTCATCTCTTCAAAACCAGTAGTAACATAGTTGGTGCAATGATTTTTCTGCCATGATTTATTTGGGGAGGACATGGCTGGGGCTGTTACTGCTCTGCCAGAGCCCTGTTTATCCCCGGCACTGCCCTGGGTCGCAGCCCCCAAGGATGAAGGGCCACGACTGCTGCAGTCCTACTCGCCTTCCTCCCTGGAGGGGAGCAGAGACCTGCCTCCATCCTTGTCACAGCAGCAGGGGGAGGGACACCCAGATGGCTGTGGAGTGTAGGGGACCAGGAGGGGCCGACAGCGATAGCTATAGGGGTTGTGTGGCCGTGCCCGGGCTGTGCTTCACTGTGTGCTGGGGTAGCACCCAATGTTTGCTGGGGCGAGTGGCTCCACTGCCTGCGGGACCACCACAGGTCAGTGCTGGGGGGACATCAAACACCACCAGCACCCAGCCCGGGTGAGACAGACCCTATTCCCTGCACCTTTTGCCTTCAGACTGACACCAAACACTTTCCTTGGTAGACTTTTCCTTTCATAACCTTCCCCAAGCAAGCCCAGTTCCCTGCAGGCTCCCTGGAGGTGCCTACCAGGGCTCCCGAAACCCAGCACTGAGGCACCCTGTGCTGTGCGGGTGGGAGTGATTGACCCGTCCCCTTTTGGGGCAGGCAGCTGGGAGCACGGAGGGGGCTGCAGGCAGGACAAGGGCAGGGAGCGTGAGGGCAGGGCAGGGGGCCTTGTCCCCCGTGGAGCCCACAGCACTATCAGTCTCGCTGCAGCAGGAGCTTCTGCTCGTTTTTGGAGTAAACTCAAGTGGCAATGGTTGCTAACGCAGCTTCCTTATCAGCACGAGCAACGATTGACTCCTATGATTCTTTGCAAAAAAGAAAAATTAATCACACTTACAGCCAGGCAGGAAAAACAATGGGCTGCACTTTGGGAAAGCAAACCTTTGGGAACCTGGAAAGCCTTGAGCAGGCAGGCTCAGCTCAGCCCAGCTCGCCTGGGGAAACCCACAAAACTGGGAGCCAGCTCCTGACCCTGCCACAAGACAGTCACATCACATCTCCGTGTCTGTTCCCCTTAACTGCAGAAAAATTTGGTGGTCCCAGTTGCCTAAATCAAGTCCCAGGTTGGACCACAGGCCCACCTAGCCCCGCTGTCATCAGCAGCACTAACTTCAAGGCAAGCTTTATTTTAGTTTTTTTTAAATATATAGAGAGAGACCCTGACCACCCCCCTGACGCATCTCTAAGGGTCCCCAGTCGTGTCCCATGTCTGCTCCAGTCTTCAACTCATCCCATCCTTGTCCAAGGCTGCAGATCCACCATGCAGCAGCACAGGGAAGGTGGAGCAGGGCTCTCACACCCCCCCCAAAAAAATCCCAGCACCTCTCTGGGGCACCCAGTGCCTGGTTACAAATCCTCAAGCCACCAACGTGAAGACTTCCCCTGCCCCTGCAGTGTAACATACCACAGCTTTCTCTCCTTTGTGGCTTCCTGCCCTTTTCTGTCCCTCCCAGCTTATATCTAACCTCATCTCACCAGTCCTCACCCCACTTGCGGTGGCCCAGCCCTGGCAGGATACACCCTTCCGCCAGCTGCGGGACAACAGCCCCCCTTCGCTCTTCTCTGAGGATCCCCAAGATGCCAAGCACCCTCCCAAGGTGGGTCAGGATGGGCTTTGAGGGGAACAGACAGTGCCACTGTGGTGATGGATATGCCAAGACACCGTCTTGCCCCACACGCGGTGACACAGGGAGCTGGCCCCTGGCTGTGATTCAGGACAGGGAACAAGAGCATGAGGACAGCTGAGGAGAGCAGGGGGTCATCCAGAGCTCACAGCCCCTCTGCCCATCACAGCCTCATCGAGGAGCTGCTCCCTGCCTGCAGCACCAGGAGCTGCTGCCCCAAAGGACAGGGACACAGCAAGCCCAGCCCATGCTTGCCTGAGCCATGTTGGGCACACAGGGCGGGCCCCCCAAAGCATCAGTGCTGCACCCCCGAGACCCCCAGGCCCTGGCAGGCCCTACCTGTGCAGGTGGGTGTCTCTGCTGACCACTGCTGGGAAGGCAGGCACCGCAGCGTCCCTGCCCCTCGCCGCTCAAACCCCTCCTGGCACTGGAACGCGCACGTGGAGTTGTAGCTGAAGTCTCCGAAGGGATGGCTGCAGTTCATGCGCGCTCCCTCGGGCTCCAGCTCAGCACACTGCACAACTGGGAGAGACACGGTGCCACCAGCCCATCAGGAGCACAACGGACTTGCCTGCTTTGCCACCGTGACTCAGGCACTCCAGCAGGGAGGGAGAGATGGATGGGATGGGATGGCTGGCTCACCCTCCTCGCACTCAGGGCCGTAGAAGCCAGGGTAGCACTCGCAGCGGTAGCTCCCGATGGTCTCCACGCACTCACCGCGCTGGCTGCATGGGAAGGGCTGACAGGAGGCTGTGCACACAGAGGATGGTCATCATGAGCCACTGGCCACCCTGCCGAGTTCCCCAGCCCTTCTGATCCGGGTCCACCCCATGGTCCCCCACTCACCCTGGTAGCACAGCGCCTTTTTTCTCCGGTTGCAGGGCTCATCGTTCCACTTGCCCGACTCCCGCTGCCGCTTGATGTAGATCTCCACACAGTCCTGGTTGGAGCGGCGGTTGTTGGGCTCCCCAGCTGCCCAGTTCTCTGCCTCCTTCGTCAGCTCCTTCCTGGTGCCCACCCAGGTCCAGGTGCCACCCAGCTTGCGGATGCCGATCCAATAGTAGCGCGCGTGAAAGGGCAGGCTCTCATTGAGGTACTCAATCTCCTGCTTGTTCTGGATTGCCACCAGGTCAGTGAAGAAGGTCTGGCAGTAGTTCCTAGCCTGCTCCCATGTGTAGTCCCCTTGGTCGCTGTAGTGGTATGTCCAGGCACCCACTTCCACTTGTGTCACCACACCTGCAAGAAAGGACGTGGTCCAGGATCACTGCAGATAGGAGGGGACCCAGGTTTGGGATGGGGTCCTTTGGGACATGAGGATGAGCTAGGGCTGGCATTGGGGCCAAGAGATGCTGGCAACCAGCTGGGTGAGGGGACAGGATGAAGGGACAAGTGTGGGTAAGAACAGAGCTCTAAGATGGTTCATGGAGACCTGGGTAGATTGGGCATGGCAGAAGGAGCTGAGGTGGGACAGGGGGATGGCACAGGGATGAGGAAGGTGGAGAGGATGGGGTAAAGGCTGGGACAGAGAGCAGCACACGATGGGGCAGGCAGAGCGCAGATGGCACAAGAGCCCCAAGCAGTGATGCCAACCCCTCCTCCAGCACAAGGGGTGCAAGCCCCAACCCCACAGCCCTGCTCCTCTGCCCACAAAGGTTTTCCAAAGGGGAAAGCCCAACATCAAGATGGTTCTTTAAAACACAGTTCCTTCCTTGAGTGCAGAAGTGGACCGCTTCAGTTTTCTTGCTTTACACTTCTACATGAGAGCCAGCTTGGAGCAAGGCAGAGCAATGAGTGCACCCTCGCCCCAAAAGCATTTGGATCCTGAGCTGCTCATCTGAGCCTGAGACAGTCTGAAGAGTCTCGTAAAACTCAGTATTGCAAAACAACATCTTGCAAAAGTTTAGTTCACATCCTGGTCGTGCCCACCAGGCAGGGCAAAGCCAGAGATTAACTGGAACCCACACCCAGAAGTGAAGGGCACTTTGCTGAAACCCTGCTCTTATTTACAGAATTCTGCACCACAACTTGATGCAATCAAAGGGTTTTAGCTACCAAAAAAAAACAGAAAAAAAAGCTTCCTCCCCCTCCCCAGAAGTAGGTACCTCCACAACTGCAGAAAGTGGTATGGGGATTATTCTCCATCTGTGCAGAAAGTGAGACAGGGACCAAAGTTTGCTCCAAACAACTGGCCTGGGGTATCCTGTGCCTCAGGAAAGTGTATCACACTCTGGTTGTGCAGGTAAAGGTCTGGGCATTGCAGATTAGATGCAAATCTAGGGCCTCCCAAGTGTAATTAGGGCTCTAGTTTGGTCCATAATTATGTATTTTTCTAAGCAACATTCCCATAATTTGTCTGTTTTTTCCTTGTGAAAGAGCAAATTATCTACTTTGTTCCACTAAACTGTCCAACAACAGCCCTCTCCTTCACCCCTTGGGAGCTTGGGGCTGCAGGACAGAAGAAACTCAGGACACCTCCTGGGAGTCTGCCCCTTCCTCAGCTCCCACCACCCACCTCCTGGCCCTTGCTACCTCCCCAGCCCAGCTCAGGGCAGCCACCCTGCTACCCTCACACATCCCATCCCCAAACCGAGAAGGACCAAGGGAGCCCACCCACTCTGTGCTCATCCTCCACGCTCTCTCCTGCATCTTTCTTCCAGCTCCACCAGTAACACCCTCTCTGTAGTACAGCTCATCCCCACTCCTTCCCCTCAGCCTTATGCTACCTCTCCCTGCCCCAGCTGGAGCTGAACTCCCAGGTGAGTGCTGTTTGCCTGTGTTTCAACCACTCAGTTCCCCTGGCAGCCCCCAATGTCTCCTCCCCCCAGGACGGTCCTCAGCACCCACCACACTCGGGGTGCCTTTGCATTTTTGTTTTTCCCTCAGAGCTAAATCTCAGCCTCCTCCTGACACTTCTGCATTTGCGTGTTCCTTAGTTCAGTCACAAAAGGTCCTTTGGAAAATAACCCAGCTCACGGAGGATTTCTGAGGACAGAGCAGGCACTGGCAGGTTTTCCTCTGTGCAATGCCAACGTGTGAAGGAAATATCCTACAGGCAGCAAAACCAATTAGCTTCTACTCTGATTTCTTCTCCTGATGTCAATTAGCAGCTTCAAGTCTGCGTGATGCTGCTCCAGCTGTGCTCCCAACCCTTTCACCTGTGGGTCCTGTGGCTACATCCATGCCCAGCTCCATGGCATGGGCAGGGGTAGACTGCTGCTGCCTTTCTCCAGTTCACGATACATTGCACCAGCTGCCATGCTGCATTTGGGGAACCAGACCCCCTGCAGGGACCCTGCGTTTGGCTTGGTCTTCCCCAGGGGAGCATGGTCCTGTGATGGGTCTGGCTGGAGGGATGCGGCCTGGGCAGACGCAGCCTCCTCCCAGCCCAGGAGGATCCAGCCCTGGGGATGTGACTGATGAGTCCTCAGAACGATACTGCTGCCAGCAGTATCCTCAGAACGATACTGCTGGACCTTCAGGCTCCTCAGCAGCAGGGTCACACTGGGCTTACAAAGCGGGTGGAGGGTGGCTTACCCCATGCGATGGCAGCGATGCCCAGGTAGTAGATGCCAGGAGAGCCCAGATCCCACGTCCTCCCAGCAGACCACAGTCCCGCAGCAGTGCCCTGCATACCAGGGAGGGAGATGTGAGTGTGCATGCATGTCCCATGGGGGCTCACACACCCCGCTGTGCACCCACACCACTGTCAGGTGGTCCTGGTAGCCACACGGGCACGTTGCAGAAGAGCCACACAGCTCTGCTGCAGAAAGATCCCCTCCAGTGAGGCACTCTGGGGAGCTGTGCCTGCAGCACAGTTGGGTGGTGGGGGTGCCCACAGTGCAGTTGACTCCTGGGGAGCCCCTAAGTCTCCCTGTGCCCCCCAC